AGACACTTGGCACTTACTAGCTGTGTGACTTTGGGCAAGTCACTTAACCCCAATTGCCTCATAAAAAAAAAATTTAAGCTTGAAAGGGGAAATATGGACAATAGCTATTGAGACTGGTAGGAAGAAATGAGGAGTTGTTGTGGTTTTGTTTTAAAGAATGGAGGAAACGGGCGTGTTTGTAGGCAACAGGGAAGCAGCCAGTGATGATGATGATGGTTTGTATTTATATAATGTTTTAAAAATATTTACAAATATCTCATTTTATCCTCACAACAACTCGGGGGGGAGGGAGAGGGACCGTTATTATCCCCATTTTATAGTTGAGAAAACTGAAGCAAACAGAGGTTATGTGACTTGCCCAAGGTCACATTGCTAATAAGTAGACAGGGAGAGACTGAAAATAAAAGAGTGTGGGAGGAGAATGGTGGCAATCTGCTGGAGAAATTGGTAAGAGCTCAGGTCAAGGCGTGTGCAGGTTTGCCTTGGCGAGGAGAAGGCCACCTCTTCCTGTGACGTAGTGATGAAGGAGGAGATGGCAGGGGAGGCATCTGAGTGACGTGAGATGAGGAGGAGGGAAGAAGAGGAGCTCACCGAATGGCCTCCATTTCCCTATCAGCTGACCTCTTAGGTTCTGGAATTTGCCACTTTGACTAGGCTGCCTTCTCCCCCTGGAATTTCCAGCAGCGCCTAGGGAGGAGGAGACCTCCAGGAACATCTGTCCCCCATGCCTGCCCATTCTCTCAAGAGTGAATTCCTTCTGGGTCGCCATTTTGGAGACACCCCAGGCTAGCCATTCCTCTCCCAGCTGTGCTTCTGACTCTCTGGGCTTTGCTACCATGCCCTTACTAGAGTACCTTCTCGTCCCTGTCCCTGTTAGCTTCCTCTTATGTGTTGTCTTTCCTCATTAGAATGCAGGCTCCTCGAAGGGGTATCAGTGTGCACATTGAAGTCCTCTAGTGATGAGGGCAGGAGGTGAAGAGACAATTGTGAGCCAGTGACTGAACTCGTTGGGGAAGGAAGTAGAATACATTGGGGCGAGGGGGTCGGGGGGGAATCTCCAAATAGCAGCCATCAAGATCTGGCTTGGGTGATATGTTTGGATAGTATGAACCTCAAAGGAGGAGAGATGCCAAGTGATGGGGGAGAGAGAGACACACAAGGAGAGAGACAGAGACAGAGAGAGACAGAAAGAGAGAAAGAGTGGAGAGAGAGAGAGAGAGAGAGAGAGAGAGAGAGAAGAGAGAGAGAGAGAGAGAGGGAGAGGGAGAGGGGGAGGGAGGGAGAAGGGAAAGGGAGAGGGAGAGAGGGAGAGGGGGAGAGGGAGAGGAAGAGAGAGAGAGAGAGAGAGAGGAGACACAGAGACAGAGAGAGAGACAGAGAGAGAGAGAGAGGAGAGAGAGAGAGAGAGAGAGAGAGAGAGAGAGAGAGAGAGAGAGAGAGAAAGAGAGGGAGGGAGGGAGGGAGAGGGAGAGGGAGGGAGGGAGAAGGGAGAGGGAGAGGACAATGAGGAGCAAGGAGTATTTCCATTCCTCCACAGCAGCCAGGGGTCTGGAGGTTTGAGAGAAAGCGTAGCCAGTACAGGACAGGGTGGTGAGGAAGCTGAGTCATTGGAAAAGAAGGCTAGAACGTGGAAGGAGTGAGAAAGAAAAGTGGTTTTTGATTAAAAGAAGTTTGTCCCTTCTGGAGCAAGCCAAGGGCATGATGGAAGGGAAGGGTGATTCTTCAGTGGGGCATGGCAAAGGGGAAGGGCCAGGGTGGGGATGGGGAGAGGGGTTTATACATTGGCAGCTGGGGGTTCAGAACCATTGGGGAGTATGCCAACTGTCAAGCAGCAGGTCCAGACAGGGCATCAGTGGCTGGAGAAAAGTTTTTTGAGGGAGGCATTCGATGGGGCTCTTTGAAGGTTCAGCTTTGTGGCAGATGGCAGATGGCATGACTTGTGAGAGCCAAGGCCCACAGCAGGCAGGAGGGGGCAAAGGCATGGGAGCTGGCCAGGAGACAGGGGGGCCTTGCTTATGCCCTCATCTTCCAGCACGCACTTTCACCACCCTCAATATCATCGCCATTTTCTATAGTACAGGGGCCTTGGTTACTGTTGTTCTCCATAGATATTCTCCTTGGGTACTTGGCTCTCGGCTTAATCTCTCCAAACTGAGTCACAGGCAGGATGACAAGAGACAGTAGAGGGGGTGTAGCTGAGCCAGGGGACCCTGAGTCAGGATGGAAAGGCCGACAAGCCACAGTGGGAGGCACCATCTCAGACTGCAGGCTATGGTTTGGGCAGAAATCTGGCAGCAGCCACCAGCCTGTGGCAATTCTGAGTCAGCAGGGGTGACTCAGGCCAGGCCACACTTTCCTTCCTCCCAGGGCTGGAGGGAAATAGGAGAACGTCCCATCCAGAGACTCACTGAATGTCAGAGCTGGGAGGCCCCTTAGAGATCAGAGTCTAGGCCCCTCATTTTGACCAAGAAGGAAAACAAGCCCAGAGCAAGGCAGGGATTTATTCAGTCACCCAGTGATTCTGCGACCAGAATGAAGGTCTTCCTGCCTTTCGGCTCAGGTTTTCTACCGCCTACTCAAATCAGGGCTTCTTGCTCTACTCCCATTCACTAGGAGCGCCCCTCCCCTACAATCCAAGCCAGCCATCCCTCAGTTTTCCTTGCAAGACATAACATTGCTATTGGATTGATCAGCGCTAGAGTTTGTCCCGACTGGCCACCCTCTCCTGGCCATCGTCCCCTCAACCTGGGCACGCTGAAGGCCCCTGCTCCCCATGCATCTCTAGACAGGCCCCACAGGGCTGGGGAGCCTGTGATCTCCACAAGCGGTTCAAGCAGCTTCTGGCTTTCAGGTGCTAGAGGTGAGTGCAGAGGGCACCCAGCTTTCCCTGCCTTTGCCAGCAAAGGATGCTTCTGAGCTAGACTCCACAGAGTCAGGGAGAGGCAAGGTAGTTTTTCTGGGCCCTTTGTCTTCAACAACAACTTTTCCTCCTGATGCCTTCTCATAATGAAGCCCAGTACTCTTGAAGGCCACACTCTCGTGATGAAGTGCACCGAACGCTGGGCTCGGAGGCGGGAAGACCTAAGTCTGAATCCTGTCTCTGAAACCTCTTGTGTGATCCTGGCCAAAGTCGCTTCATCTGTCTCAGCTTCAGTTTCCTCAGTTATAAAATGGGGATAATAACAGCACCTAGGATGGCTAGGTGGTAAAGTGAATAGAGCACCTGGCCTGGAGTCAGGAAGACTTATCTTCCTGAGCTGAAATCTGGCCTCAGACACTTACTAGTTGTGTGACCTTGTGAGGCCCTGTTGGCCTCAGTTTCCTCATCTATAATATGAGCAGGTGAAGGAAATGGCAAACCACTCCAGTGTCTCTGCCAAGAAAACCCCAAATGAGCACTGGTCCTGGATTCAGGAGGACCTGAGTTCAAATCTGGCCTCAGACACATAACACTTACTAGCTGTGTGACCCTGGGCAGGTCACTTAACCCCATTGCCTGGCCAAAAAAAGGAAAAGAAAAGAAAACCCCAAATGGAGTCACAAAGTGTTGGACACAACTGAAATAACTCAACAACCCCCTTGGGCTATTAAGTGAGGTAATATATTAAAATGCTTTGAAAAATAGGACACACTTTATAAATAACATCTACTATTATCGTTGTTGTTATCATCATCATCATCATCATTTTTACCCAGCTGGAAAGACTTTGACGGTCGGCCTGGCCATGTACTACCGGGTGGTGGGTGAGGGGTGGAGTGGGGGCGCAAGGGAGGGTCTTCCATCGCACCGAGAACGTGGAGAGTCTCACCAGACTGCCCGCAGGTGACAAATGGGAGAGTCAAAGTTGGAAATTGCCCTCCCCCTATTTCTCCATCCTGTTTATTTCAATCCAACAACTTATTAAGCACTGACTAGGGGCCAGGTATTTTGCTAGGCACTTGGGATACAAAGGAAGACCGGACTTGCCCTCAGGGAGTTTACTCTTTATTGGATGACTGACCTGGGAACTGGAGTCTAGGAGAGACTTTTCTCCCTCCCCTTGAGATCTGAACTCACGCTGCCCTGGTAGGGGGTCAGAGCAGGGGGACTGTCTTAGGCAAGGCCACCCAGGAGGTGGAGGCATGGCTGGGACTGGGCCCACCCCCCTCCTTTGTCGGGCACCCGGCAGCCTCAGGAAGTTCTACCAAGCCCGAGGCCTTGCCACCCTCACCTCCCCTTGCCTGGTCTGGATCATTCTGCATGGCAGTGAGAGAGATTGGCCCCAGCAGGCAATGGGGAAAGCAGGGGATTTGGAGATAAGAGGCCCAGGTTTGAACCAGAACTTTGCCCCTTATCACCTGTGTGACACTGGGTGAGGCCCTGCATTCTCTGGGCCTCAGCTTCTTTAACTGTAAAATGAGGAGATTAAATTAGATGAGTTCTAGGACTCTTCTGTTCTAAATTTGTGTGATCCCACAACTAAATACATCGCTAAGGCCCTGCCCTCAGCCCTGACATTCTCCGGCTTCTCCCAGCTCTGACACCACCTGTTCTAAGGCCCTTCCCAGCTCTGACATCCTCTGTTCTAGGGCCCCTCCACACAGGCTCCTCCTGTGATTTGGTGACCAGGTCACATTTCAGAAGTGAGGAAATGGTCAGGTTGTTGTTTGACCTCACTAACATCTCACACATACACAGCCAATGAATGGCAAAGCCACATTTAGTGATGTCCAACTCAGGGCTCTTCTTCACTACAGAGTCCATGGGATAGCCCAGGTTCCAGGCTGGGCTGGCACTTGGCCAGCCCCCACGGCCCACAGTTCTTGAGTGAGGCAGGCCCCCGTTCCTCCCAGCTCCTGCCCTGGGACATCGGGTGGGGCCTCCAGGCTGAGCTCAGTGACCTTTTCGGCTCCTGAGCTGGCTCTAAGAGCAGGTGTCTCTGGGGCCACTCTCCACGCCCTACTCTTCCCCCTTCTTGGCTGCCCTCTTGCTGGGTTAAGAGGCAAGGAAACGAGACAGAGAGAACCAAACAGTGCTTTATTGGAGGACGGAAATAGCCCCTTCCTCAGCCTCACTGAGGGGCGGCACCTCTGCCTAGGACAGCACCTGCCAAAGGAAATCCCCATTTATGGCCAGACAGCCTGGGTCAGAGGACCTATGGGGAGGGTTCTGAGAGTTGGCAGAGGCCATCTGACCAGGGGTGGGAGTAGGGGCTCCAGCCAATGATCCACCCTGGAGAAAAAAAACCCCTTTCCCCCTTCCCCAGTCTTTAGCAGCAGAGAGATAACGGGGAGGAGGGAGTGGGAGGGGGGTCTCTAAAAGAAGCCTGCCCGACTTGGGTCAGCCCTGCCTCAGCCTAAGGGCACCTGGACAGTGCTTCCTGCCCTCTCCATGGGACTACTAGGAAATCACCCTCACCCATTTCATCTTAACAAGTACAGCAGGTGCAGGTCACAGCTGGAACTGTAATAATTATTATTTAATTACAACACCCCTTTGCCTTTACATTCTCCTCTGACCCTTTGTAGTGAGCCTCATCCTCTTCTAGCAGACGGGGAAACTGAGGCACAGATCAGGGAAAGGGAGAGGACTCACCCAGGGCTGGACTCGGGGCTTGCAGCACCCCAGACCATTGCAGCAGACCAGGACGGGCAGGGATGGAACCCTGGACAAGCCACATCAGAGCCTCAGTTTTCTCCTTTGTACAATGAGGGTGATAATCTTCCCACTAGCTCTTTGTAACGTTGAGGTCCTGGAGGATGGACGCGAGACCACGCAGGTTCCCGCCTGAGCACCCCCATGCGTTTTTTCTGGAAGTTTCTTGTTGCCAGGGGTTCACCCACATCCCCGTTCAGGCCTCTCTTCTTCCAGGCGGTTGGTTGAAGCTGCCGGCCCCGCACAAGCTAGGGATGGACCAGCCTGGGCCCAGCTGGGCCCAGTGAGCACAGCTCTCAGATGGGCACCGCTGTCACTTCACAGGGCTCTGACAGGCCGGCCTGTCCACCACAGGGTCCACCAAGAGGCCACCAAGTGGCAGTTGTGATACAGAAACATCCCCACCAGCGTAAGAGTGATGCCCACGTAGCTGAGGCCACTCAGGCGGCTCCCAAACAGGAGCCAGGACAGGGCCAGATTGCCCACCACGTGGAAGTTGCCCAGCACGTGGACAGTGAGGGCTGACGTGAGGGCGAGCAGGGAGAAGCTGGCCAGGTTGTAGAGCACTGAGACCAGGCAGCTGAGCAGAATGAGCAGCCAGAGGCCATGGTCGGCGAGGGCCAGGGCCGGACTGGCACCGCCCACCTCCAGCACCAGGGCCGCGCCCAGCAGCAGGCAGAAGCTGGGGAGGGACGTCAGATACAGCAGGGCCACTGAGGCCAGCCTCTCCTCCTGCAGCAGGACACCTGGAAACCAGGAGAGGGGAGCAGGGGTCAGAGCGGGCTCACAGGCCCCACAGCGAGGAGGCCCAAACAGGGCATGCCCGGCACTCCCTCACCACCTGGGTGCCAAATCTCCCCATTCTCTGGGCCTCAGCTTCCAAGAAGCCAGATCAGTCAACTAGTGGATAAGCATTTATTAAGCACTTACTATATGCCCGGCATCGTGCTCAGTGCTAGGGATACAAAGGCAGGCACAAACACTCCCTGCCTTCAGGGAGCTCCCAGTCTAACCAGGACAAACAACGAGGCATAGACCAGATACAGACAATAGACAGACGGTGTCCATCGGTCTCTGGGTTAGGGTCACGCCACCCAGTAAAGGTCAGGTCAAATGGCTGGAGAGCTAGCAGGACATGAGAGATCATCCAGTCCAATCCCTCACACTTTACAGCAAGGGAAACTGAGGCCTAGGGAAGTAAAATGATTTGTCACACGGGTGGTAAGTGCAGAAGGAAGGCCTTCCCCGAAATCTCATTCTTCTACCTCTCACCCTTGTTCTTAGCGCTTTGGGCTGTGCCAGGGTCTGGGCTGGCTCTCGGCAAAATTATAAAGCCCCTGACCCTGAGTTTCAGGGTCCGAGGCTCCCTTTCTCTTTCAACTACCCTTCCAGCCCTGACCACACAGCTACCTACTTCGAACTGTCCGTGTTCTGTCCCTTGATCAAATGTTTCACTTCTGTCTCTGTCTCCTGGTGCTCGGCATATAGTAAGCAGGTGCTTAATAAATTCTTATTGAGCGATTAGTCTGGAAAGCCCCTGCTATTTGCCTGGATATCCTTCCCGGGCCTCCCCGCATTATTAAAGGAAAAGACCTGTCCAATTGGAGGAGGGGAGAGGAGGTGTTGGGGAGGAGGGCGGGGCCTGAGGGAGGCTCCCGGCGCGGACATTCCATTCATGTTCTGCTGCTGTTTGAGGCAAGTGTCCCCACTGACGTCATCACAGCGTCTCCAAGGCCACCTGATTCTCTATAACATCCCGGACCAGTGGCTATCCAGTGTCCATCTGCCCCTCCCTTTGGGAGCAGCCCAATCCACACTGGGAGAGCTCTGTCAGGTGCTCTCCTGACCTTGACCTCCGGCCCTGATCTCTTTCTCACACCTCTCCTATGTCCGAGGAGAACCCAGCTGATCCTTCAGGTGGGGACACCCAAAGCATCTCAGATACTTGGAGATGCTCGGGATGCTCTCACTTCCAAGGCTTCCCTTCAACGGTCCTTCGGGGGCTTGATTTCCACTACCTCGTTAACGTTCTTCCCAAAATGGGTCACCCAGAAATGAACAACACTCCTATTTAGCAGTCTCTGGCCCCCAAAGGGACTCCTAAGCTCTGGGGCAGGCCAGCAGGCCACACTCCTCAGTGTGGGGGAAGGAGATGCCCAGGCTGCACCTCTGCCCCAGGGACCTGCTGTCCCACGCCAAGGCCCAAGTAGGGGAGGAGGCCTCAAGGGCCCCCGGCGATGGGAAAGCCCTCACAACAAGACTCCTTCCTACTGTGCCAGTGTTCTCCCACCTGACTCCCCCTGAGGTCTGGGTCAGCTGGCCTATGCTGGCCTTCATATCCTATGTTCCCTTTCCCAACTCCAGGCCTTTGCAATGGCTGTCCCTCATGCCTGGGATGCAGGCATGCACCCCCTCCTCGTCTTGGCCTCCTGACTCCCCTGGCTTCCTTCAAAATTCAGCTCAAATCCCATCTGGAGGTGGCTTTTCCTGTCCCCCCCAGGTGCCACGGCCTTCCTCTCTAAGACGATCTCCCATTCACACTGAATGTATATTAGTAATGTGCATGCTGACTTCCCTAGTAGAAGGTGGGCTTCTGGAAGGAACAGGCCAGTACATATGATAATAATAATAACAGCTAACATTTCTATAGCACCTACTCTATGTCAGGTACTGTCCTACGTGAGTTACAAATAGGCTCTCCTCTGAGCCTCACAACAACCCTGGGAGATATGATCCCCATTTTACAGATGAGGAAACTGAGGCAGGTGGCACATAAGTGACTTGCCCAGGGTCACACAACTAGTAAGTGTCTGAAGGTGAATTTGAACTGAGCCACCTCACTGCTTAATCAGTGCAGACTGACTGACTGTCTGATGCACGGTGAGGCAAGGGGGGTTGCTGTGGCTAAAATACGGGATTTGGAATCCTCACATTACTGCTCAGATCCTGGCTCTGCTCCCTGGAGCCTTGAGACTTCAGGCAAATTCCTTCGCCTCTCTCAGGGAGTCAGCTTCCTCTGTCAAATGAGGGCTTTAGACTTGGTGCTCGGAGGGCCCCTTCCCACTCTAGATTCTCCAGTCAGCATCAGGACGGCAGGCCTGGGCCTGTTGGATGGGAGAGAGACACCCACAGTGGAGGGGGAGGCTAGGAGATAGGCACTAGCTGCCCAAGGAGTCCCAGCTCATGGCATCAACCCTGCCCCTTGGCCACATCCTCATAGAGGTTCTTTCCTTGGGGCTCAGGGACAATCTGGTTACTGTGCGGGGAAGGGAGGTAGGCAGGGGACTCAGGGCGGCGGGGGGGGGCAGCCAGCAGCTTTCTCAGTGACTTTGGAGTACAGCCAGGGTCTACCCTTGGTCCTGGCAAAAACAAAAACAAGCAAAAAACCCACCACCAAAAACACCTAAGGCCCTGGACAGAAAAGGAGAGCGGGTGGCCAGCCCGGCCCAAGGATCACATTTCTGTTTCCTTGTTTGGCCTCTCAGGTAACCTGAAGGCAAAAATAGACACTGGGACGTTGGGACTGCCAGCCAGGGCAGAACCCTTCCCTGCCCAGGGACAAGAGGGCGGGGCAGCTTTCTCCCCTGGGCACACCTCCCCTGGGAGGTTTAAACAGGCACACATGGGGGTCATTGGGTGCATGACTACCGCGGCTATCTGTATGCATGCAGAGGCAAGGCTAGTCACTGCATATCATGTAGATTGTGTTCATGGACTCCAGGCATGTCTGTATGAGGCACAGGGGTCTGCACCCAGAGTTGGGGGTGAGCATACCTGTACAGGACTGGGAGTGTGGGTGTTGGCACAAGCTCACATGCAACATGTGTCTCTATAAGTATGTACAAGCACATGGAAGCTTGTGAATGCTGTGAGGAGAGCAGACACACACGTGCACACATGTGCATGTACAAACATGTGAGATTAGAGTGCATGTTTCTAAGGGGTTCACATTGCTCTGTCAATGCAGGTGCACCTAGGAACATGTTTGTAGAGATTGGTATATATCTGTAATATGCATACATAAAGAGAGAGAAAAAGACAGAGTAAGGGAGAAAAAAGAGAATAAATGCTGGAAAACGGAAGGGAGAGAGAAAGAAAGAGGAAGAGATAGAAAAAGGGAAACAAAAGGAAGGAGTAGAAAAAGAGGGACAGGAAAGAAAAGAAGGAAGGAGAAAAAGAGAGAGGGAGAAGAAAGAGGGAGAGAGGAGGAGAAAAGAAGGAAGGAGAAAAGGAGAGAGGGAGAGGAGAGAGAGAGAGGAGGAGAAAAGAAATAGAGAAAGTAGGAGGCCTAGCTTGGTGGGCTGCTGGCAATGAAGAACTGGGAAATCCAGAAGGGATCGGGATGGAGGTGGAGGGATATGGCTATACTTATTTTCAGGCATCCTCCAAATAAACCAATCAATATGTTACTCTCTAAATAGTGTCCTCCTCTACCCACCCTCCTTCCCATGCACGAAACACAAGACCAGGAACTGTCTTTGTACATTGGGACTCTATCCCAACTGCCCTTCCCCTAAGTGCAGGGCATGACTAAAGCATCTCCCCATCCCAGGACCTCAGGCAAGAGCAGGAACTGACCAATTACTACCCAGTGGAGTCCTAGACTCCACTGTGAGTATGTATCCATGCAGACAGGACTCTGCCAGGCACCTCTGTGGGCCTAGTCTCTAGTCAACTGCTTACGTCTCAGAATGGCCTGTCTACAGATGCAAGCACAGGACACAGTCTCAGCTGGAAGAGACCTCAGAGGACATTTAGTACAGCCTCGACCCAAATCTCCTTTACAACATACTGTGACAGGGTTCTAGAACTCCAGAGATGGGGAACCATGACCTAAGGAGATTAGTCATTGGTTTTACTTTGTTCTAATGCCCAGAAAGTTTTTTCCTGACATCATACATAAACAGCCTTTACTCTCTTAACTTATCATCGCTCATAGTTCTGTCCCCTGGGGCCAAGCAAAAAAAAAAATTATCTTCTAGTCCATCGGGAAAAAAAGGCTGGATTTGGAGTTTGAGGACTTGCGTTCAAATCCTAACCCTGCCCAGTTACTATCTGTGTGATCTTGGACAAGTCCTTTCCCTTCTGCAGGCCTATTTCCTCTTCCATGTAGAGGTAGCTAGAGAATGTCAGGACTGGGAGGAGCCTCAGAACAGGGGATGTCAGACCTGGGAGGAGCCTCAGAACAGGAGATGTCAGGGCTGGGAGGGGCCTCAGAACAGGGGATGTCAGACCTGGGAGGAGCCTCAGAACAGGGGATGTCAGGGCTGGGAGGGGCCTCAGTTCAGGGAAAGGCCTCAGAACAGGGAAGGTCAGAACTGCGAGGGGCCTCAGAACAGGGGGTGTCAGGGCTGGAAGGGGCCTCAGAACAGGGGGTGTCAGGGCTGGGACGGGCCTCAGAACAGGGGGGTGTCAGGGCTGGGAGGGGCCTCAGAACAGGGAGTGTCAGGGCTGGGAGGAGCCTTAGCAGACCAGCAAGGTTTAATCACCTCAGTTTACAGATGGGGAACCTCAGCCCGTAGAGCCGAAGCCCTTTGCCCAGGGTCGCACGGAATGACCGCTAGTGCTGGTGGCTCGGCCCTAGCTCACCCGGCACGTGGGTACTCACTTTGCTGCACCGATTTGAGGCCTCGGAGGAAGGTGGCAGCGAAGAGGAAGGAGCAGCCAGCGTGGTGGAAGTGCATCTCGCCCATGATGCTGCAGGCAGCGCCCAGGCAGATGGGCCCCATGGCCGCGTACTGCAGCAGGTGATGCCGCTTGCCCAGGATCGCCTTGGACAAGGCCAGGGTGAAGAGCGGAGTGGTGGTGTAGACCATCTGGGCAAAGTCCAAATGCACGTAGGTAAGGCCCAAGTTCCCACAGGCCATGGAAGCGCAGAAAGTCAGGCTGAGCAGGAACACCCTCCTCCTGGCCCGGGCAGGGAGAGGCCCGCGCGCCCGGTGCCCGGCCAGCGGGTAGCCCACGAGGACGGCGGTCAGCATGTGCAAGGAAGACAGCAGCAGCGGGTAGCGGAAGTCGTGCACGGTGAAGATCCACTTGTTGAGGCTGGACATGCTGGTGCCCGTGACCAGCCACACCAGCACGGTGGCCAGGATGCGCCCGGGACTGCCCGGCGGGCACTGGCCCTGCCCCTGGTCCCGCAGGGCCAGCTTCCAAGGCAGCAGGAGCGTGGTGGCTGGGGCTCCATCGGCCGAGGTCATTCCGGCTTCATGGTTCCTCCGGGAGCAGACGCACATGGGGGCCGGAGGGCAGGGAGCCTGGGGGTCCAGAGGGGTAGCTCCTCCCCCCGGCCAGGGGATGCCCACCCACAGCCGGGGCTCCTCTCTGCCCCCGTGCACAAGCTCTTCTTTGCCCCCTGGGCCAGGGCTTGGCGTCCTCTGTATCCCGTGCCCGTGGAGGAGGATGCCTGTTCGGATCTCTAAGCGCGGTTAGAGCTGGCGCTGGGCCCCGGCCTCCGGTTGGGCAGTGGCGGCGATGCCCGGCCCGGCCTGGGGGGCCTCGCGCTCCTGCCCGATGCTCCCTGCGGCGGCGGCTCCCGGGGCTCGGGCTCCGGCTCCTCTGCCGCTGCTCTCCTACTCCAGCCGGGCCGGGCCCCGCCTCCCCCACCCCGGACTGGCGTACAGAGGAGGGAGGGCGGGGCCAGCACTAGCCACGCCCGGGGACCCGCCTCCGAGGCCTCGGCCACACCTCCTCTCCGCCCCGGACTCGCCAGGCCCGCCCACATTGACCAAAGCCGCCTGGTTGCCGTGGAAACCGCCTAGGGAGAGGAGATCCAGGAGCCCTCCCCATCCTGCCCCACCCGGCTGAAGCTGCCAGTTGCCATGGTGACAATGAGATTCGCACTAGCTTCTAAGGGGCGGGAAAGCCAAGTTAGAAGGGGCTGGGGCTGGGTCTGGATCCCACCCGGGGAATGGGCCAGAAGCCCGTGCTGGGGACGGGTAGGGCAGACCCTGGGACAGTCACAGCCACAGAAAGGAAGGCCCCCTTCCTCTCCCTGGCTCCATCTACGTCAGTATCAGGCTCAGCATCAGCCCTGCCTCTGTACTGTTAGTGTCTCCCTAATAGTTCTCAGAATCTTAGAATCACACCCCCCCCCATCACATCATGGGACTACAGCATCTCCTTAACTTTACCCTCTGCCTCCCATTATTTTCAGTGGAGGGCCGCACGTGGAGGCTGGGCAAGTCTGTGTTCATGCCAGGTAGTGAGCCAGCTGGCCCTGCCCATCCTTGGCCCCAGAATGAGAAAGGTTCTCACCCCCTCTCTTTGGGAGCTTTCAGGAGAGGAGGGAGGCCCCAGCTCCCTTCCCACATCCTTCCCCTTCCATTGCCCATCACGCCCAGCCCTGCCCAGCTGCAACCCCACCTCTATTCTCAGGGCTTGCTGCCAGGCATCAATGGTCCCTCCTCTCAGGAATGCACCCACCTCTGGGCAGGCACATGCAGTCCACAACAGGAAGGAGAGTCATCCTCCTGGGCCTGCGCCTGGGCCAGGGCAGGGAGGGGTAGCCACGGGGCGTAGGGAAAACTGAGTCACTGGCAGCTGGGACTTGGGCAGGCCACAGCTCCTGAATCCAGGCCACTAGCTCAGGGCTGTAAATTCGACCCCTCTGGGCTCCCTCACCTCAGCATCACGCTCAGAGCCTTTGGGGGTTGCAGGATCCAGGGGCCCACCCAGGACGAGGCTGTATTTGCCTGGGTGTGGCCTGAGTCTATGGCAGCAGCCTCCCCCTACTGGTCAAGGAAGAGACCAGGCCCAGACCCACGTATGGATGTATGGAATGAATTTCCATTTGCCTCCTAGATCTCTGCTTCTTCCTTGCAGGAATCCCCCGATGCCTCCTTTCTGTGGGTTTGTACCTCCTCTGTGTGGCTGGGAGATGCTGCTGGTGGGTGGTCACTGGAAGGCAGCTTTTGCCTTTCCACCTTCCCAGACACGACTCCAGCCACTGCACCCCAGCATTAATGAGCAGCAGTCACAAGTCTTAAACGTCAGTGATTTAATCCTTTTTGATAGAACCAGAGACCAAACTCCACTGCAATGGAATGGGGGTGCTTAGTACAGCAAACCTGAGCAGGCACAGTCCCATTCAGTGGCAGGGACAAGATCAGAACAGAGATGGGGGCTGGGAGACAAGCCAGGCCACTTGGGGCTCCCAATTCTGAGATCCACTGGTTCTTGGGGATCCTGGCAGGGACAGGAAGGGTCCTGAGGGCTTCACATCACCACTGACTCACGGATGCAGAGATGGAAGGAGCCTTAGAGGTTCAATGCCTCCATTTTACAAAAGAAAACAGGCTCAGAGAGATAAGTGGTTTGCCCAAGATTTCCACTGGATAATCAGAGCCAGAATTGGAACCCAGATCTTATGACTCTAAAACTTGTGCCTTTTTCTTATCGAATCCCACTGTTCTACAGTCCCTGCAGACTACTGGAAGGCCCGCCCTGGGGAAAGAGACTTGGGTTTGAATCTTGGCTCAGACACCTTGAAAGAACCCTGGGAAAATGCTCAGGAATTTTGACAGGAAAAAAAAAACAAACTGCCGGGCCAGCGAGGTGGTGCAGTGGATAGAGCACCGGCCCTGGAGTCAGGAGGACCTGAGTTCAAATCCAGCCTCAGACACATAACACTCTGGGCAAGTCACTTAGCCCCAAGTGCCTCATCAAAACAAAACAAGACTGGACAGACTGGTTCTTCTTTTGGAGCATCAGTTTCCTCATCTGTGAAGCAGGTCCATGAGATGTGCAGCCCAGAAAAGCAAGCAGACAACTAGACTGAGAGTCTAAAGACCTGAGTTCAGATCCTGACTCTGTCTCCTCCCCTGCCCACATGACCTTTCCTTGCTTTGTTCTCAGCTTCCTCCTCAGTAACGTGAGGGCCTGAGCTGGATCGCTAAGGTTGTTACAACGTGACTCTCACCAGATTCTCTACCTGGTGAACCTAGACTGCCACGGAAGGTGGGATGAAGGCAGGGCAGGGGCCCAGGGACCTTAGTTTTGCAGACACACTGGGGTCTCCAGATGGGAGGTCCCAGGGGGTGGATGTCTCTGGATCTGGAAGGGTTGTAGGGACAGAGGGACAGCTAGGCAAAGGGGCGGGGGGGAGGATTCCTGTTTCCTTTGCCTTCTGTGGTCACTGTCTAACCTCAGGGTTTGACATCATTTGTCCTTAGCTGGTTGTGGGGGGATTGCAATGGGTTCGGAAAAAGGTCTCTCCCTGCCCATTCTCTCCTGCACACAAGGTAGCAGAGGCCAAAGGGAGTGGCTAGGTCTCTGGATGACGGAGCCATGGGATGATGGGACAGCCTCCCCTACCAGCTGGCCAGGCTCAGAAGGATGGTCTCTCCGTCCTGGGGCCTGTAGTTGGCAATACCTATAAAGACAAGAGCAGGGAGGGTTGGGTATGCCCAGTAGGGGTCCACCCCAGCACCAGGGCTCCCAGCAAAGGCTGGGAGGTCCTGCAGGTGTCAGGAGACCATGAGGGAAGCAGGGTGCCCGGGGTCACCTGCTGTTCCCCCTCCCCCATGATGTCCCCTCTCCTTCCTAAGGCCATGGCAGGGGAACAGGCTCCCCAGCCAGGGGGCCCCAGGCTTACCTTGCAGCAGGGGCGTGTCTGGGGCACGGAGGAGCTGCCAGTACTGCTGTTCTCCGGGGTGTACGCCCATCACCGAGGTTACAAAGGGACCAGACAAGGTGTTCTCAGTTTCATACCTGCCAAAAACAGAAGCAGCTCATGGGATCCTAGCTCTCAAGCTGCAAGGGCCCTCAGGAACCATCAAGTCCAACTCCATCACTCCACAGAGGAGGAAACTGAGGCCCAGAGAAGGAACAGAGCCAGGAAGTGGGAAAGGTGGGATTCGAGCCTGTAGTCTTTTGTGGCCATGGACTAGGGTGATGTGTCTGAAAGCAAGAGCTTGAGCCCTTCTCTGGGAGCACTTCACCTTCTAGGACCCAAAGGGAGCAGAGGGGGCTCAGTGTGGGTCACCCTTACATCACTTCTCATTTCCTGTCCATTTTCTCCTTTTAATTTCACTGGAAACCCAGGAGGTAAATAGGGCTACTATGATCTGCATTTTCCAGATAAGGAAACCAAGGCCAGGGGTGGGAGGAGGGTGGGTAAGAGGACATGTCCAAGGCCACACAGCAAGGTAATAGGGAAGTCAAGACTTAAACCCAGGGTTCTGGCTCCCCAGCCAGGGCTCTTCCCAGCACACCTCACTGAGTGACTCCTTCAGGGCAACCCAGTGAGTCACTGGGAGGACTCCGGAATACTGAGGAAGTCTGCCTCCTGCCCATGGCAGAGAGCTCCTTGGAACCTGGGTCCTTGTCTCAGCTCCCCTCTTGGAGGGGAAGGTCCATGTGGGTATGGAGCACTGCGTCACATAGCAACCCTGGCTGATGTGCCCGCTGGTTTTTGCAGGCTCATAGAGTCTGAGGCTCACTGACCTGGGGCTGAAAGGGTCCAAAGAGACTCTCCTGTCTTCCCCTGCCCCCATTTTGCAGAAGAGGAGATTGAGGCCCAGAGAGAACCTCCCAGAGGCTCAGAGATCTAGAGCTGGTAGGGACCTTAGCCATCACTGAGTCCAACCCTAATCCCTCCATTTTACAGAGGAGAAAACTGAGGCCCGGGCGGGGGGGGAAGTGATTTGTCCAAGGTCATACAGTTAGTAAGGTACAGACCGGGGATTTAAACCAATGTCCTCTGGCTCATAATCTAGTGATCCTTCCACTACCCCCACACCAATATGGGAAAAAGAAGATGCCAAGCCCAGGTACTGTCAGCAGATATACATGTGTAGGTTGCAGCCAGGCACCCGAGACAACCTGGCATAGTGCAGAGGCACACTGGACTTGGAGTCAAGAACCTGTTTACTTCTGCTTTCACCTCTGTTAGCTGTGTGACTTCTGAGTGAGGTACTAAATCTCTCTGAGCCTCAGTTTCCTTATCTGTAAAATGAGCACCTCCCATATAGCGTTACTGGAGGGACTGAGTGAGATACTGGGCAAACTTCAAAGCACCCTAGACATACATCGGAACTATCACTATTAAAGTTCCATAAATCACCAACTTTGTGAAACACAGAGAAAAACAGCCAACCAAATCTGGACAAAGAAGCCCTTGTCTTCCATTTGCTGTGGGCATGGTCCTTGGGGACCACATAGTTATCTTAAGGGAGTGACCATTCCCCTGTCTTCTGCTCTGGTCAGGCCACACGTGGAGGACTTTGATCAGTCCTGGGCACCCCAGTTTAAGAAGGGCATTGACAAGCAGGAGAGTATCCGGAGGAGGTGACCAGGTCGGGGAAGAGTCTTGAAATAAATGACTGAATAATTAAGATTGACTGAAGGAACTGGGGGTGTTTAGTCTGGAGAAGAGAAGACTTGTGGAAGATGCGATAGGGATGTTCAACTATTTACAGGCCTACCTTAGGAAGAAGGGACTAGGCTTTTTCTGCTTTGCCTCAAAAGCCGGAACCAGGAGCAAGGAGGGGAAGTGGCAAGGAGGCAAATGAAGGTTTGGGGAGTCAGCAAACACATTCTGACAATGAGGAGCTAGTGGGCCCCCTCCCTGGAGACCTTCAAGCAGGGCTCCTTCTCACCATGCTCAGCTATCTCTTACCTGGTTACTAGGCTCAGACAGATGACTTTTCACCTTCCCTTCCCTTGTTAGAATACAAGCTTACCGAGGGCACAGACTGTCTTGTTTGTATGCCCTCCACGACGCCAGTATAGGTCTGGCACACAGTAATTAATTAACAGATGCTCACTTAATCTAGCTACCTGTCTGTTTATCTCTCTGCCTATCCATCCGTCACTGTTAGGTTTTCTTGGGCCTCTGTCCTACCCCAAGCCCCATCATAGCTCCAACCCCAGGAATTCATCAGAAGTAAAGGCATGTTGGGAAGTGGCAAACGTGCTGTACTTGGAGTAAGAAGATCTGAGTTCAAATCCCAGTCCATTTATTAGCTGGGTGACCCTCAGTTTCCTCAGCTGCAAAATGGGGATAACCAGACTTGCAGGGTCTCTCTCCCTTGAACTTATAAACTTTACAAGGGCCCTGGAAATGGGAGCTGCTCTTGTTTTCATTAGCGTTAAGGTAGTCTCTTACGTGAACCAGCCCTCCTCCTGGGCCTTGATCAGGACATCCTGTAGTGTGGCCCCCTCAGGTACAAGGTACTGCTGGTCATGAAGGAACATGAGCTGGGGATCTGTTTGGACTCTCAGCCTGACCTCAATGTTCTGTGGCTCCTCAGTCAGTGGGATGGCGGTGTCTGCTTCCAGGAGACCTACTGGTAGGACAGGAAAAACATGGCAGTGAGGAGTTCCCCATAGCACCAAGGGACCAAGTTGGGTCACGTTCAAAGGGCTGTGACTGGGGGCCTGAGTACCTGACCCAGCGTGCCCCAGACAGGCTGTGGGAGACCTCAGGAAGCAGAGACTCCCAGAATAACGATCGAGGCCACACTCACACAGGGAGAATGAAAGTGTCTGTGCCCAGGACTACGTGGACCCCACAGAAGGGATCCCAGGCCTGGGGCAGTCAGGGAAGGCTCATCACAGGCCAGAAGTCCTCTAGAACCACTCTCTGTTTCCTCATCTGTAAAATGGGGCTAATACTAGCACCAGCCTCCCAGGGCTATTGTGAGGATCAAAGGCGTTAACTCTCTAAAGTGCTTTGCCATCAAGCTACATAAAGTTAGCTGTTATGACTGACAGTGAGCTTCTGCCTTTGGAGTTAGATGCCCCGAGTTCAAATGCTGCTTCTGTCACTCCCTGTGAGAAATTAGTTGAGTCACTTTGTCACTGATGGCCCTAAGTTTCTCTCTCTATAAAATTAGGGAGTAGGTCTAGATGGCCTCTGAAGTCTCTCTGCTATAAAGTTATAAGGGTGGAAACCAGGCCTTTATTAAGGTGGAAACATGCATTTATTAAGCACCTAATGGATGCACAGTATTGTATGCTTTCATCCCCCATAAAAGCCAGCACAGACGAAGCTGGGAATGTGTAGCTGACTCTTGTGGGGCTAACTTCCCCCTTCCTCCCCACTCCTTTTCCTTCCCTCCTTCCTTGTCTCCCCTGCCCCCACCTCCCCTTCCTCTAGGCCCCTCAGATCTTCCAACCTCTTTCATCACTGCAGTCCAGCTGCATGAGGCTGAGGTAGGTCCTTTGGTGCAGGACAGGCAGCAGCTGGGACAGGGGGATGGGGTTCTGGAAGGCCCCTTCCTCGAGGCCCTTTATAAGAGCGTCCCCAGCTCGGAGGCAGGCTAGCTCTGACTCAGGCGAAGGGGCTTCCATCAGGGCCTGGGAATGACAGGCAGAATATAGACTGAGAAGTCTTGAGAGAGGCCACAGAAATAGGTCCTTCATCAAGGACAGCAACCCCAGGGATGGTCCAATTCAACCCTTTTGTTTTATAGAGGAGGAAGCTAAACCAGGGAAGGAAAGCAGATAAATAGATAGGGGGGAGAGGGGGGAGAGAGAGAGAGGGGAGAAGGAGAGGGAGGGAAGGAGAGAGAGGGAGAGGGGAAGGGAGGAAGGGAGAAAGGGAGAAAGAGAGAGAGAGACAGAGAGAAGAGAGAGAGAGAGAGAGAGAGAGAGAGAGAGAGAGAGAGAGACGGAGGAAGGGGGGAGAGGGAGAGAGAGGGAGGAAAGGAAGAGAGAGTGGAGGGGAGACAGAGAATAAGAGATGGGGGAAAGAGAGGGAGGAAGGGAGGGAGAGACAGAGACAGAGAGAACATTTCTTAAGCCCTTACTAGGTGCCAGGCAAACCCAACTCCCAGGCACCACCAAATGCCCTCTCCCACCTGTAGGGCCAGAGGGCTGCTGTATATGTTTCCAAAGTAACCTTCTGGGGTTTCTTCTTCGAGAATTTTGTCCCTCACGTGCTTTAAGGCCCTGAAGATCCAAGGTTCCAGGCCTGGGTTGAGGTCAGAGGCCTGCAGGCAGGAGAAGGCCAGACTCGCCATTGCTGCTGTGTCTGGGCAGAAGGACGCAAAATACCGTTTAAGAAGTGCTGAAGGGGTCTCCAGCAGAAAAAGCTGAAGAAGCCCTGGAAGGGCAGATGGTCCAGCCCTAGCCCCTCTCTCCTTCCTCCCCTCAGCCCCCTCACTTTCCCTGCTGGGCCTCTCTGGGGCATTCTGTGGCCACGGTCCTCCCCTGGACCAGCACAGTCCATCTCCTGAGTTTCTAAATGAGAGGTAATCTGGAGTCGGAAGGCCTGGGTTCCAATGCCGCCACTCCTACGTAATAAACAAGAAGTCACCTTTCCTCTTCCTCTCAATTTCTTCCTTCATGGAAGTCTGGGGGGAGGGGAGGGTGGACCTCTGGAAGCTCTAGGTCTTCTCTGGCCCCTCCTCCAGCAAGCAGCCCACCCAGAGCTCTGCCAGCAATGGCTGTGCAGAACCCCCCTCCCCCCATGCCAACACCCAGCTGAGCCCTGGCTTCTGCAAGGCTTCTTCCTGCTCTAATTAGATCTCACCCCTGAGATATTAAAGGGCCCAGAGGGTAGCCTCCAGGGGCAGTGCAGATGCTCAGGGAGGATCCATGGAAAGACCAGAGCAGACTCAGAACAGGCTTGAGAAGGCAGGAAAGCCCCTGCCCCCAGTGAGACTTTAAATTCCTTGAGAGCAGGGCCTGCACCTACCCACCCCCATCCCCATGCCTCCAACTAGCAGACTGTTGGACATACAGAATTATAAGTGGCTGAACTGGTAAGAGAGCCCTTAGAAAATGAAATGCCAGAGCTGGGAGGGGACCTAGAACATAGAATGCAAGAGCTGGAAGGAATCTAGAACACGGAACTGCAGTGCTGGGAAGGAACCGAGAACATGAACTGGTAATGCTGTGGGGACCCTAGGGCCTGGACTGACAGTGTTGGATTGACCCAGAACATGGAATGGCCATGCTGTGGGGAACTTAGAACCTAAAATCTCGGGTCACACTTATCAGATGACACAAAAAGAAAAATGACAGTTGCAAGGGCTTCTGGAAACCAGGTGCCCTTGAACTCGAGCTGAGAACTGGGCTGGCCACTCTGGAAAGCAAATTGGAACTATGACTGACAAACTGGACACACCCATTAACCCAGCAATACCAGTACAAGGCCTAGGCCTCAAAGGACAAAGAAAAAGAGAAAGGTCCCATCTGGATAAAAACATCTATTGCAGCTGTTTTGTGATGGCAAAGAATCCAAAATCGAGAGGATGCCCATCAATTAGGGCATGGCTGAACAAACTAGGGTATATGAACGGGATGGAGTAGCACGGTGCTGGGAGCAATGAGGAAAGGGATGGTTTCAGAGAAATGAGGGAAGACTTATATGAACTGATGCCGAGTGAAGTGAGCAGAACCAGGAGAATAATTTGTACAATAACAACAATATGTTAAGAACAACAGGCACAGTGGATAGAGCACCAGCCCTGGATTCAGGAAGACCTGAGTTCAAATCCAGCCTCAGACACTTGACATTTACTAGCTGTGCGACCCAGGGCAAGTTACTTAACCCCACTGCCCCACAAAAATACAAAACAAAACAAAACCCAAACCAACACATTGAAAGACTTAGGAACTCTAATCAACCAGAAGACCGATACAAAAGAAGGCTACCCACTTCCAGAGAGAGAAAGAGGAGGGAGAGAGAGACAGAGAGACAGAGAGAGAGAGAGAGAGAGAGAGAGAGAGAGACAGAGAGACAGAGAGAGGTTTTAGTTTGTGTTCAATGAGGCAAATTTCTTACTCTTAACTATGAATATTTATCACTAGGGCTTTTTTTTCTTTTTCTAAATTTGGGAGAGGAGTGAAAGAGAAAATAGATTTTTAAATTAAAAAAATTAAATAAAAAATAGAACATCAGGTATAGGAAGGGAAGTCTTAGAGCACAGAACATCACAACTGTGAGGGACCCTAGCACAGAGAACTCAGAGCTGAAAGGGAACCTAGACTATATAACGTCAGACTGGGGAAGGACCTTCTAACAGAGAATGTCAAATCGGGCCGACCCTTAGAACGGGGGATGTCAGAGCTGGGAGGGACCTTAGAACAGGGAATGTTAGAGTTGGGAGGGAGCTCAAAAATCAAGACAATTGCTTCATTTACAGAGGAGGAAACTGAGGCCAGGGGGTGGGAGGTGACTTGCCTGTGTTTACACAATGAGTCAATGACAGAGCCACACTTAAGTGCAGCCTTTTGGGGACCTACCCAGGTTTCTTTCATATAGAGAAGAGGAAGAGAAAGGGAACAAGCACTTCTTAAGTCCCTACTATGTGCCAGGCATGTGCTAAGCACTTCACAAATATTATCTTCTTAGATAACTCTGAGAGGTGGGTGCTATCATTATCTCCATTTTACAGATGAGGAAACTGAGGCCAACAGTGAATGACAGAGCTAAGAAGTATGTGAAATTGTATCTGAACTCACATCTTTCTGGCTCCAGGCCCCGTGCAGCACCTATCTACCTAGGGTTTCACAGAACAACAGCATCTTAGAACTGGAAGGAACCTTGGAGTTAACTGAACCCCCATCAGCACAACTGAATCATGGGAAAAACACTGGCCTCAGTGTCAAGAGATCTGAGTTCAAATATGGCCTCCAGCACATTCCGGCTCTGGGCACATCACTGAATCTTTGGTTTCCTAACACAATCACAGAGGCACAGATCTTTAAGGGCCCTCGGGAGCGCTTGTCCAAACCTGTCCTTCAACAGATGAGAAAAGAGTCTCAGCACAGGTAGTAACCACCAGAGGCCAGATTCAAACCCATGTCCCCTGACTCCTGAGTCAGGGCTGTTTCCACTGTAGAATGTGCTGTCATGGTCAGGAGAGAGAGCAAGTCAGAGCAAGAGTGAGAGCAAGAGCGAGAGAGCGAGCGAGAGAGAGAGAGCAAGCGAGCGAGAGAGAGAGAGAGAGAGAGAGAGAGACAGAGACAGAGACAGAGAAAATATCAAAAGTGCTTTAAAAACCTTCAAGTCCCTCCCAGCCTTGACCTTCCCTGTTCTCAGGCCCCTCCCAGCCCTGCCATCCCCTGTTCTCAGGCCCCTCCCAGCCCTGCCATCCCCTGTTCTCGGGCCCCTCCCAGCCCTAAATCTGTGATGCCCTCAGTGCTCAGAATTGGTAGTGTTGCACCAGGCAGTCAGAGGCATCTCAGGGGGAGCATCACTTCCCCCACAGTTGGGTAATGAGCTCTTCCTTCTTTTTTTTTTCATTTTTAATTTGTTTATTCCCCGTGCACAAGAGAAATAGCTGATAAGCCCAAAAGAAACAGTTTTATTTTTACACGGGGTTAAAAGAGCGCTTCCTTCTGTGCCTGCCTTAGGAGCTGCTGTGGACAAACCCCTTCCTCACTCCCCCAGGCCCTCCCGCCGTAGGCCTGGGGCACAGAGGGCTCACTCACCCACAGAGTACTGGCTCCTGTGCAGGAAGACGTCGTGCTCGGCAGCGTGCAGCAGCTTCTCCACCACGTGGCCCGGCACCTTCTTGTCATGGATGCACAGCGCCAGAATGGCCAGGCCGTACTGGTAATAGCTGGTGAGAGGGTGGCCCCTGTGCTCATGCCCTGGAGGGGAGGTCCCCACAGGTGGTCATGGCTACGCCCTTCTCCCCGGTGAATCCCAGCTAGGCTTCCTTGGCACCACTAGTGAATCATCCTGGGGGATGGCTGTGAAATTCTTGGGGTTTTTTTTCATCTATCAAATTTGGGGAGTATTATCTTTAAAGAAAAGTAGTATGGGGTAGTGGCCAGAGAACCTGCATCAAAGCCAGGAAGGTCTGGGTTCGAATCCAGCCTCTGACATATATGGGCTGTGTGACCCTGGGCCAGTCACTTAACTTTTTGATGGCCCTCAATAATTTTTTTTTAGGCAATTAGGATTAAGTGACTTGCCCAGAGTCACACAGCTAGTGTCCAGTGTTTGGTTTGAGGCCGGATTTGAGCTCAGGTCCTCCTGACTTCAGGGTCAGTGCTCTATCCACTGCACCACCTAGCTGCCCCCTCAACAAGTCTTAACAGCTGTAAGTTGCCCATCTGCTTAGGTGGAGAGAGTTCTTATAATGATGAAATTATAGATCTAGCAGTGTTGACCCCCTCCTCCAGTAATTATTTTTAATAATTATATTTATTTATTTTGCTTTTTGGTGAGGCAATTGGGGTTAAGTGACTTGCCCAGGGTGACACAGCTAGTAAGTGTCAAGTGTCTTTAGAAAAAAATGTGTCAAGTGTCTGAGGCTGGATTTGAACTCAGGTCCTCCTGACTCTAAGGCTGGTACTCTATCCACTGTGCCATCTAGCTGCCCCTTTAATAATTGTTTTTAATTGTTGTTAATAGTTCTTTCAGTTGTACATGACTCTCTGTGATCTCATTTGGGGTTTTCTTGTCAGAGATACTGGACTGGTTTGCCACCTCCTTCTCCAGACCATTTTACAGAAGAGAAACGGAGGCTGACAGGATAAAGTGACTTGCCCAGGGTCACACAACCAGGAAGTGTCTGAGGCCGGATTTCCTAGGTGAAGCCCTCTCTCATTTTCCCTAGCAACCACAACTGTCTCACCACAAAATTACCTTGTCTATAATTTGTATCATTTGCTGGCTACATAGTGTC